TTTTTAAAGGTTTGTCACTTCAGTGCCCCGGAACCAAAATCTAGTGCCAACTTCTTTTTACGTGTTTGCTTTTCTTTCCCCAGATGTAGCTGGCTAGCCCTCCACGTCTCCTGGGCCTTTCCCATCATCTGTGCCCACCTTCTTCTCCCAACCATTCTTTACTTCCTCCTCACCAGTTTCACAGACACAGGAATCCTCTACAAAGGTAAGGCATGGAGCTGTTACAGCCAACAGGCAATATGTGAATATTTTCTTTAATACCAGTCAACCTTTTAGACAAGTGGTACCACAGGTCAGATATCAGTATGCAAAGGGATCTTGCAGCACCTTTGAGACTAACAGAAAGACAGAAGTTGGTAGCATGAGTTTGCGTAGGCTCAGCTTTAGGCAACATCCTTGCCTTATCCTCCAATGTTCATTGTTAAAACTGAAATTGTCACCTCATCTCCACTCCCACAAAATTTTCCATTCCTATGGACATTCTCACACAGAAACTGGCTTGGCAGCAGCCCATGTGAAAGGGATCTAGGAGTCCTAATAGACCACAAGTTGAACATGAGTCAACAGTGTGATGCAGCAGCTAAAAAGGCCAATGCAATTCTAGGCTGCATTGATAGACGTATAGTGTCTAGATCAAAGGAAGTTGTAGTACCACTCTAGTCTGCTATGGTCAGGCCTCACCTGGAATACTTCTGGGCACCACAATTCAAAAAGGATGTTAACAAGATGGAGTTTGTCCAGACCATGTCTCCCCATATGAACTTGCAAGAATGCAAAGATCATTGGGGAAGGCTTTCTCTTCTCACTGGCTTGCTTGGTTAGGACATGAAGGAGAGGCTTTTCAATTGTTGCTTCCAACCTCTGGAACTCCCTTCTGCAGGAGGTTAGTCTAGCTCCCTCCTTGATCTCCATTCACCTGCAATTTTTAACCAGTCTCATCTGTGAATTGCCGCCTTGGGTCCCACTTTGGGAGAAAGGTGGCATATGAATAAAATAATATAAAATCAACCTTGCCCTAACCACTTTCTCTACATTATATACAATTTTATATATCACTGGCTGCATCTGCACTGCAGAATTAATATGGTTTGACATTGCTTTAATTGCCATGGCTCCATCCTATGGAATCCTGGGATTTGCGGCTTGTTGTGGCACCAGAGCTCTCTGTCAAAATTAAATTTTGAACATTTTCTTTAAAAACATCACATTTTACCAAATGTTCACTTTAGGCACATGGAACAATGTATATGTAAATACATTTGTTCTGTGCGTATATTTCAAGTTGTTTTGTGTCACAGCTATTCCTATTACATTCAGTAATGTATGGGAATTACAATTTATATTAGTACAAAAAACAAACATTATGAAGGATTCTGTATGGTGTGGATGGGAGGAGGTCAATAAGTATGGAGGGGTGGCACCATGAGTTACCACTCCAGGTAACACCAACTCTAGACATCCAATGGAATAATAATATCATATAAATAATTTAGAAAATGATCATTCAGCAAAAAATAGAGTATTTCAAAGCAGCCATAATGTAAGACATCCTATCCCTGAAACCTAAAAAAATAACATCAAGGGAACATCATATGGTAAGGTAATGATATCCAATAATTCAATTATAAGCCCATTTTAAGGAGATATAAAATTCACAAAGTTTTTGATGTAATAGTTTTTGTGGG